TTATCGCGCATGCTTACTGTCGGCCACGTGCCGAGGGCGGTAGGGGGAGTTCAATGCTTCTTAGAAGCACCCCTCCTTCTTAGAAGGCGCGGGCCTCACCTGTAAATGTAAGACCAGTGCCTTCTAAGAAGCAGCCTCCTTCAAAGAAGCCTTCTCCCATTCTCCTAGCCCCCTGTGCACCCTGCCAACCACCACCACCCCGGTCGGACACTGGCCCTGTCGGGATCCAGAGAACGGTGCTGTGGCCACACCCCGCGAGCGAGAAACGTATTCGTATCCGCGGCCTCGCGGGTTGGGCCCCTGCGACCCCGCGGATACGGGGCGTTTTTGTTCGAGGAGTATACGCGCGGCACGTGTTCGTGCGACCGCGTAAGGGTGTTTTTGGTTAGGGTTGTTCTTGCGTGTAGCCGAATGAAGGAAAAAGATCCTGAGGGAAACGGGCCTCATGCTTTTTCGCTGTACTTGGTTTCCCGGGTCATCCCCAGACTCTGGGACGGTCCGGAAACGATTGTTTGGTCTTGGGGGAAGGTACCAGGGTTCAGGACACGTTTCCTACAGGACCCTGACCTTTCATGGCAATCTCCCGCAGGAGCGGTGGCTATGCGGGGTGTAGCAGCTACAGGTGGAATTTGACAATGAGGACGAGAAGGAACAGGGTGAGCATGAGTAGGGAAGACGAGGAGGGAAGGGGAGAGGAAGGGGGAGGGAAGGGGAGGGGAGGGGAGGAGGAAGGAGAGGAGAGGTAGGAAGCAGAGGGGAGTATGAGGAGGAAGGGATGAGGGGCGGATGCGCGACGAAGGCGGCTGGGGGAGAGCAGCGGGAGGGGGATGAGGATAGGCCTGAGAAGTAAGAGGCGGGGGGCGACGAGGGCATGAAGGCAAGAGCGGAAGTGCGACGGCGAGGGTGCCGCAGGGGATGCGCAACACGCGGATGAGGGAACGAAGAAAAAAGGGTGACCAGGGTCAGGCCGACGGGGATACAGGGAGGAGGAGGAGGAGGAGGAGGAGGAGGAGGAGGAGGAGGAGGAGGAGGAAGAGGTGGAGGTGGACGAGGAGGCGACGGAGGCACGGGCAGGGCGCGTAGGGAGCGGGCACCCCCACGGAAGGCGGCTGCGACTGGAGGCTGCGGCCACGTCGGCTTCGACCACTCCGTCTTCCACGTCTTCTTCTGTCTTCGTTACTTGCCTTTCTTGCCGCTTCGGCGCTGCTTCTCCTGCTGTACTTAAAGTCCTAGTTCCTTTGTAGTTGCTTGGTTCCGATCGTCACTGCGCACCTTACACCCTCTCTGGGTCACGCAGTCTTGGGCGCCCCTCGGCCAGACCGTCCCCAGGTTTGACTATATCATTAAACGGGCCGTGCCTGTGGTGGTAATGAGACAGGAGGAAAGACACACAAACTTAAGAAAACAGACCACGTGGGAGGGGAGACGATCTCCCCGAAAATATGGGAAAATATGGGAAGTGGGGGGGAAGACAGAAACCCCGACAATATGGCAAAATATGGGGAATCCTTTTATTTGTGTGTATTTATTTGTGTGTCCCAGGGCCCCTTGAGAGTCGTCCGGCGATGGGTCCCCCAGGGTTTTGCACTCTGGGAAGCCCACCGACCCTCGGGAAATGTGCCCTCGGCGAGGGCCTTCGCGGGCCCTCCGGAGGGCTCCCTTGCGTAGTCCGCGGCCGGGCGTCCCCAGGGGTGGCCCATGCGGAGAACCCACCGTGCCCGCGCAGCCCTCCCCTATGGATGTGCGGCCTCCGCTCGCTCGGTCGCTCAGGATGAAGGGGGGGGCGGTGTCGGAGGGGGCCATCGGCGGCGAGCGAGGGGGGGGAAGCGAGAGGGAGAAGGCCTTTCACAGAGGGCGGCGGGACTGCTCAGAAGCCCTCGCGCCCTCTGAGAAGTGCTCCCTCTGCCTTGTGGGAAGGCTCAGCAGGCTTCTCAGGAGGCCGGGGGACGTCCGAACCTTCTGAGAAGGTCTTCTCCTTTTCCTTCCCCCCTGGCTCGCCGCCGAGGCTAGGACGAGGCGTTCCGGAATGCTCTCAGAGCGTTCCGGAGGAGCGCTCCGAGATGGCCGCGGCGCCCGAGGCATCCTCCAGAGCCGCCGGATCTCAGAGATGCTCGACTTGTCTTCGTCCGATGTCATCCTCGTCTTGGCGTCGTCCCAGGTCCGTGGTAGGCGCCCCCCCCCCCTTCGCGAGCCAATGGTACACACTCGAGCCAATAGAGCACTCGAGATCGTAAAGTAACCGTGTATTACGACATCATCTGAGTTTCGGTGCTCTGGCGCCCCCGACGAGCTCTTAGAGGGCCGCCCCCCGGGGCCCGCATCGGTGCTTGTCTCATGATGTTGCAACCTGCTTTAGCCTTGATCGCCAGAAATAATTTCGAGCACCAGAACAGTTCCCCCAAACTCGAGGGTTTTAACGTGCCGGGCCCTGGGAGACACTCGTCCGACTTTGTTTCGGCACCCTTTCGACACTTATTTGGGTGCTCGAAATCATTTCTGGGATGTGGTTTCAAAAGTACGATGGGAGCAACATAATGCCTGCCCTCTTCTGTCCTGCCTCCCCCCTCGCGACCTGCGCTCGCCGCCAGCTCCGACCCCACTCGGCAAAGGGCCTATTAATGGATTCCTCAGACGCGCACGGGACAAAGCAGGACCAGACACACAACAAGAGCCTGCCCCAAGCATTACCCAGCCGCCCGCCCCTTGTTTCGAGAAGGGGGCCCGCAGCTGGGGGGGTCGAGGGGCGGGGCCGCGAAGCCCATGGCCTGAACGAAAAGACCCTTGCCAGGCTGGGCGGGACCCATGGAGGAGGGAGGAGGAGGGTAGGAGGAAAGGAATGAGGGACGGAAGGATGAGGAGGAAGAGGAGGAAAGGAGAGGAGGAGGAGGAGGAGAGGGAGGGAAAGGGAGTGCGTCGTGGAAGGGGTGCGGTGCAACAGGGTATGGCGGTTGCCCTACGGTGGGAGGAGGGTGGAGGGAGGACGAGGCCCGTCCTCCCCCTCTGCGGGCAAGATGTTTGTTGCCAATGCAGTCGGACCGAGGTATAAGGTCAAGGTCGCTTCGGGAGGATGCCATAATGTTTGTCGGGTGTTCTTGCGCATCCTGGGGAGGGTACCCTTGCATGGTCTGTGTGCTTTTCCCGGCTGAGGATCTCATGTTCTCGAAGGATGTGATTCTGGCCTAGGTCCCATTGTATCCGCTGCAGCTTGGAGTTCCTGGCTCCGTTTCGCAAGAACTTGGGGCGCACTGGAGATGTGAATGAGCATTTGGCCATTGGTGTCTCGATGTTTATCCATATCCAGTGCGCCTCGGCCTTGGGACGCCCCTTCCAAGAGAGTCCAAGACGCACTGGATATGGATATACATCTTGCCCGCACCCTCCTCCCACCCCCCTCGGGCTCGGACTGGCGGCATGAAGGTCGTGGGCCTTTTCCCCCCGTCGCCGTGGGCGGGCGCCCACGGGGGGGGGATCAAGCCAGGAGACTTGTAAGAACAGGCAGACACCAGGGCCACGACGGGCGGAGGAGTTCCCCAAGGCGGCGAGGCACATGTGGCCCTCCGCGGCCCTGGGGCTTCCTCTTGCCACCGGGTCGGACGCACGGGGTCCTGGGCGTGCCGAGTAGTCGATTCTCGGAGGGTCTCCAGCCCCAGTGTGCCTTCGGCTGCGCCTCGCCGAGAGCTTTCCGTGGGGGCGCAGATCCTCCCGACGGCCGCGAGGGAGCAGAATTTTGGGACAAATTGCAGGCCGCGCAAGGGGGGGCAGCAATGGCTGCAGAAACAAAGCCGTGTGGGGGCCTAAAGGGTCCCCAAAGAGGGTCCTCTGGGGCCCGAGGAGGACACCCTTTCCCCCCCACCCACATTGATCGCCCCCCCAATTACTCCGCGCCCACTGAAAACGCCAAGGGTCAACGTGAGAGGGGCAGGCTCAGGGCAGAACGCTTAGAGCATCCCATCGCCCGCTCATCGCCGAACGGGGCCCGATGACCCACACCGCCCACCGTGCGGTTTCGCTGTCGGGTGCACATCGCCGATGTAGCGCGGATTCCAGGTTCATGCCCTCCGTGGGCCAGTCCCTCTCCGATCGTTCCCTCTCGGCTGGGGGAGCGGGATTGGGAGTCCCTCTCCGATCGTTCCCTCTCGGCTGGGGGAGCGGGATTGGGAGGCAGGGGGCGAGGATGAGGGAGACGTCGTGTTCCGCCTCATCATACGCATCCGTAAGAATAGCCGTTAGTTGCTCCTTCAGTCCTCATCTTTGTATCCACATGCATCGTCATTGAGATAGGCAGTGGCAGCCTCGCACTGTCCTGCAGCTTCTGTCATTCGGGGTTTCTGAACTGCACCGGACCTGTGGCCGCATGGCGTTGCGAAACCGTTTTGTTCCTACCGCTCGTCATCGCCCATCCTCCGCCGCCACTATTCCACAGGTATCGCTAATTTGAGTATCGGCCAGGCCACTGCACAGATGGTGCAATGTCCAATGTCGACGGCAAGATCAATGGTGGGTCTCTCCCCGTGGTGTGGACAGTACCCCGCCGATGCCGTGGAGGGCATCTCCGGTGCTGCCATGGACCGCCTGTGTCCGAGCCGAAACCACCGCACCCCCATCCCCCTCCCGCCTCCCCCCCCCGCCTCCCTCGTCCACTCCCAGCACCAGGCCCTTGCGCCGTGGACCGCCCCCGCAGGTCTCCTCCACTTCCCAGGCCTCTTCCCCGAGGCCTCGGAGGCGCGGCTTCTCTTCCATCTCCGTTCTCGGCCCTGGTCACTGCACAGGCAGAGCACACCCAATGTCAGGCGTGCATCCGACGACGGCCTCCATTCCCCGCTCCCGCGCTCCTCCCGGCACAGAGCCCTCGAGGAGGGGGTGTCCCGCGATTCTTCGATGGCCCGCCGCCCTCTGCCCAACCGCTCTTCACCCGACGCGCTCAGTTGCTTGCGAAGTGCCTACTCGCAAACGTCCGAAAAAGAGCAGACGAGGCGTTCCAAACAACGGCCTCGCAAGGATCGAAGGAGTTGCCATCTCTTTCGCGGCGGGAGGCGAGGGAAGGTCGGCGGAAGGCGGTGGACGTAAAACAGCGACGGCTCCACCGGCGGAAGCAAAAGGTTCGTCTTCCCAAAGACGACGATAGTTGTGGGTTCAGGATTTCGGGAATCGGCCATATGCTTGCGTCGGTGCATTGGATCATGAGTCTTTCGCGGCGTATCGAAGCCAGTTGCGAGCAGTTGCTTTGCGAGAAGTGGGGCGTGCTTACCGAATCCTCGCGGAGGGGTGCGGATCTCCTCCTATCCGTCTTCTCCTCGTATCCGTTTGATGTCTTATCCTCCACCAGTCACGTCCTGGTGATCCACCTGGACGCTCGCGGGTTTGCTCCCTAGCCCCCACGCCCGCCCGCCCGCCCTGGTCTTCACGACCACCCAGCTCGAACGCAATCGAAAGGCGCAGACGCCGCCGCGCACCGTGGCATGCCGAGACCACACGATGGCCAATCGAGCGATGGTCTTTGCCCGCGACCCACCCGCGAACCGCGCGCGATCCACTTGCGACCCAACCTTGACCCGCCCCGCTCCCGCACCTCCCACTCTCACCTGCAATTGCGGGGCTCTGCGTGCGCCTTTCTCTCCACACCCGACCACGACCATGCGCCAAAGGGACCGTCCGCGGTCGCCCTTTGCCTCGGCCTCCCGCTCCCCGCCCTTTCCCGCCTGGGTCGAGCAGCACGCGGTCCCTTCATGGCGCGCGCAGTCGTCTCCCGTCCAAGTGAGCGACGAAAGAAAACGGGGTCGTCTGCGCCGACATTTGCGCGCAAGCTGCCCTCGCAAGGTATCGCGTGAGTTTCTTCTTTTCGGTGGACCCTGCCGCGCTGGCGGCCCGTGTAAAATGCGGCGTGTAAGGTCGGTGCATCATCTCGCATTGAATTTGTTTCTTCTCGTCGTTCAGGTGTCTCTCTGCACACTGTCGCCCGCGACTGCATAAGGGATTGCCCACGCGGCGTTGGGCCGATCTTGCGCTGGATTCTTTGTCGGGCCCTCCACAGAGGACCGCTCGGGCACCGGAGCTGGCATGCAGATCGCCGTGCCTTGCCCTGCTGTGGCAGGTGTTCCAGCCTCCTCGGGGGAACGTTGGACTCGAGTACGCCAGAACTCGGTTTTGCCGAGGCTTCTTGACGGGCCCGCCCCAGATTTAGACTGTCCATTGTTGCAGGGATGTTTGCAGCGGGAGCTCGCGTTACATTTCACACTGGGTTTCGTCATTTTCCTGACGGCCTCGTCGGAGCCACCCAAGTCCCCCGAACCCGAGTCTTACGTCTCCCCGACTCTGGAGCCCCGTTTTGTCTTCGTCCCTCCCTCTGGTCGACCGGTCGGCCGAGCTCCAGGCATGAATTGTTAGTTGCACCCAGAGGGAAAGCAGCGGTCCTGAATGGATGGGGAGACCAGTCGGGCTGGACGGAAGGGGGGGACAGGGAAAGTGGGGGGTACGAACTTTGCTACATGTAGCTGGTTTCGGCCCCACCGAGGGGCCCATTTTTTGATACATGGCCGCCTCCGGCGCCGGGAGGCGCCGGGAAAATGAGCTACGTGAGCTGATTCTCACCCCCCCCCTTTGCTATCCCTCCCTTTCGCCCGGCCCGAGCCAGGGGACCCGTCGACGTCCCCGTCGCCCCCCCCCTCTCAGACATCCTCCGATATGATTTATCCCACCCGCGGCCCCAGAAATCCGAAAGGCCCCTCTCCGGCGGGGCCAGCTTTACGCTCAATGTCCATGTTTGGCGGCCCCATGGACCGATGACGGGACCCAGATGATGAAACGAATGAAGCACGCTGGGATTGAAAACGACATCATTGTAGAGCGAAATGAGCTCCTCTTGGAGCCCTCGGCGTCTTGAGACCCTCTCGAACCCGTCTTGGGCCGTGCTGGGCCATTATGGTAGCACTTTTTGGACGCCCTTCGGGCCTTCTTCTTGGTGCCACCTTGGGCCCCCCTGGCTCCAGCCGACTTGCGTAGATGACCTTAGATAAGTAGAAGAGGACCCATCTACGTCGAGAGAAACCCATACATATATATATATATATATATATATATTAAGGCATATCCAGGGAAGTCTTGAGAAACCGTGGAAGCTCGAGCGCGAGTCGAGGGGCAACAGAAGTTGGTGAGCCCTTCTGGACGCCTTTGGGGTCCTCCGTGGGCGATCTTGGGTGGGGGCCCGTGGGCCCTCGCATGCCAGCTTAAAACATATCCCTACCTATCGCGGCCATGGTCATCTTTATTGAATCGCTTCGCTCATTCCGCCGGCCCGTGATATGGCATCGCTGGTTTTTGTCTGTGTGTTCGTTGCCCATGTTGCGCTCTTGGGGGCGGGTGTCGTTCGGACGCGTTGCGTGGGGAGTTTTGATGGTGAAGCAGTTCCCTGGGGGTCGTCTCTCGATGGGGCGAAATAGAGTCGTCGTCAAGATGCTTCTTTGGGGGGCCTCTTGGGGTCTGTTGAGAGGCCGTTCGGGGGCGCCTGGGAGACATGTTTGAAGCCTTCTGGGGCTTCTTTTGGGCCTCCTGGGGTCTCCTGGGGCCTCTTTGGCGACATCTGGGGCCTCTTGGAGGCCTCTTGGGGCCTCTTTGGGACCTCCTGGGCCCTTCCCATTTTGAGTTCTCGGTATCCCTCCTGAGTCCCTCTTGGGCCCGTCTTGGGGCCTCTTGGTCCGTCTTGGGCGGCACTTGGGCCGTCTTGAGGGCTCTCTTGGGTCGTTTCGGCGCCGTCTTGGGAGCTTCGTGGGCCGTCTTGGAGCGGTCTTGGGGGCCTCTTGGGCCGTCTTGGAGCGTCCGGAAGCCGAAAAAAACAGAACACAAAAAACATCGAAAAAACCAATGAAAATCAACGATTTTGGCCTCTTGGGGCTCTCTTCGGAGGCCTCTTGGAAGGCTCTTGGGGCGTCTTGGAGGCCTCTTGGGCTGTCTTGGGGGCCTTTTGGGCCGTCTTGGGGTCATCTTCGGCGTCTTCGAGCGCTCTTTGGGCGTCTCGGGGGCCTCTTGGGCAGTCTTGGGGGCCTCTTGGGGCACTCTGAGCGCGCTCTGGGGAGCCTGAGAGGCCGCACCCAGAAGGAAAACCATCTCTGAGTAGACTTGGTCGGGCGGCGGTCGGGCGGCGGTCGGGCGGCGACCGGGCGTTGGTCGGGGTACTTTTCGCCGGGGGACCCCCAGGGGCCGCCCCGCGCGCGCGAACTAGAAATACTGTTAATACTGTTAACCAGTTACCGGAGATCTTAGCACGCCCTGGCCCGTTGGGCCGGCGAATATCTCTGTTCCGATCTTGAGGATCCACTGAGTTGCGAAGGCGCACCCCTCATGTTGCCATCCTCCTGGGCTTGCCAGTCTTAGGGGCAGGGATGAGCCCGAGGCCAGGTTACAGTCGGCCCTGATGAGCAGGTCGGCCCTGGAACATCAAGGGCACCATCGTGCCATGTGCCGCGCGGCCCATGCCTCCTCCTCGGAAGGGTTTTTTCCCTCCCGCGTTCGAGTCCGACTGTAGTTTGGGCGCTCTGAAGCGCGGGGGTGGTCCTCCTCCTCCTCCTCCTCCTCCCTCTCCTCCTCCTCCTCCTCCTCCTCCTCCTCCTCGGTCCTCCTCCTCGGTCCTCCTCCTCGGTCCTCCTCCTGCTCCCTACTCCCTCCTCCTCCCTTCTTCTGCTCCCTACTCCCTCCTCCTCCCTCCTCCCTCCACCTCCTCCTCCTCCTCCCTCCACCTCCTGCTCCTCCTCCTCCTCCTCCTCCTCCTCCTCCTCCTCCTCCCTCCTGCTCCTCCTCCTGCTCCTCCTCACACCTCCCGCCTCCTTCGCGCTGGCCAGCCCGCAGGTCCTGCAGGACCTGCAGCGGACGCAGCCCGCCGCGGCGGGGCAGGCGCACGCCCGGCTGCACCGGCTGGCGCAGGAGCACCAGCAGGCCTCGGTGGGGCGCCACGAGGAAGGGGAGGGACCTCAGGAGGAGGAGGAGGAGGAGGAGGAGGAGGAGAGGAGGAGGAGGAGGAGTCCTGCTCCTCCTCCTCTTCCTCCTCCTCCCCTTCCTCCTCCTCCTCCTCCTCCTCTTCCTCCTCCCCCTCTTCCTCCCCCTCCTCCCCCTCCTGCTCCTGCTCCTCCTCCTCCTCCTCCTCCTCCTCCTCCTCCTCCTCCTCGTGGGGCGCCACGAGTAATGGGAGGGACCTTAGAGGAGGAAACTATACCCATGACGCTACCTGTGTCTCGTTTTCTCTTGTTGGGCCTCCTGGGTGGCCCTCGTCGCCACCGCTGGATTCGCCTCGCAATCCTTGTCATAACGCATCCTGGAGGAGGGTTCGGATAGGCTCTCCAAATGTTGTCCGAATAGATGGAGTCGGGGAATCTCGCCACTTTGCCGATGTATCGGCGATGCGGCTTGATGTTGAGCCCGATGTTCTCCGCGCCGACGTCGCCGATGCGTCGCTGATGTCGCCGATGCATCGCCGATACCTTGGCGATGCGGCGCGATCCTCCGATCCCATCTATGCCGAACCCATCTAGGAGGCCTCTAGTTGTTGAGGTCTCGGAGTTGGTAGCTTGGGTGGACTGACCTGTCGCTTGTTCTGCTTTGCTGCGCGTTCGGGTAATCGGCAGAGGGCTTCTCCTCCCGTTGTCTCTCCTCTTCTCGCCCTCCTCCTCCTCCTCCTCCTCCTCCTCCTCCTCCTCCTTCTCCTCCCCCAAACATGCTCACCCCTCCTTCCAGGGAGAAGGGGAGAAGGAGGTGGAGAACGCGGAGGACGAGAACCAGGAAGCCGAGAAGTAAGAGAAGGACGTGGAGGAGACATCGGAAGGGGGAAGGAGGGGCAATAGAGCAGGATGCGGGGAGGAGGGGATGGAGGGCCGACCCCTGCCGAGTGGAACCGCGGCGTACTGCCGGTCGTACGCCACCGAGTGTTTTGGGCTCGACGGTCCACCGAGTGAGTATTGGGAGCTGCCGGCGACCACCCCGCCAAGTGTGGGCTTAACCGTAAGGTCTGCTCCACAAACAGGCACGCGGTCCATACACGCGCACGTGCACACTGAGGAGCAATGCGCATCACGCTCCCAGAATCTAGCGTTTTACGAACGGTGGCGTCAGCGCAGTGCGCTCGAGACTGCTCACTGAAGCGCAGAAAGTTTTTTTTTGTGCAACCTCCTCCTCTTCAGCTCCTTCCTGTTCCTCCTCCACCCTACCACCCCGTTCCCTCTTGTCCCTCCGCACTCTCGGGCCTGGCCAGGCGCAGGGGAGCGGGGCGGCGAAGGGGCACGCGGAGGAGGGGTGCACGGGGGAGATGGAGGAGGCCCGCGGAACAAACTATCTGAGCGACGCAAAACAAACGGGGCCGTCGTCGCCGTCGCTGGCGCGTAAGTTGCCCGCGTGACGTCGCGCGTGAGCGCCCTCCGTCTCCATTGTGGCTTGCCGCGCTGGCGGCCCGCGTAAGCCACTGCGTGAGGCCGCGGTGTCATCTCTCATAATACCCCGCCTCTGATCGGCGGTTCGGCGGTGGAGCCACCCCACCGTGGCCCGCCTCTCCTGAAAGAACAAGATCCGCCGATAGAGCCCTGCGCGTCGCCACGCTGGTTCTGGGCAGAATGTGCTGCCCGGCGGAGGGGGAACAGGATTGACACTGGGGAGGCGGAGGAGATGGGGTGAGGCACGGGGGGAGAGGGGGAGGCGGCAGAGGGGAATGAGGAGGAGAGGGTTGTGTGGAGGGGGAGGGGAGAGGCGACAGAGGGCAGACAGGAGAGGGAAGGAGGTGTTGCTGAACACCCTGGAGAGGTCGATTGCGTTCCGTGATGGTCGGCAGTTGTACCGTTGTACCTCAAACAGTATCGTCAGTCGTCGCATGGGACACGTGACGGGATCGGGGAGAACGTGGATGACATGAGACAGTCGACGCGTCCTCTGTAAGGAGGGGGTCGGTTTAGTTTCCCCTCATCATTTCCTGGTGACCCTTCCTCATGTTATCCACTACGTCATTGTTTTTCCCCTCGGTCTGTCCTTACCTTCACCCTTCTTCGTCTTCCCCAGGCATCTTTTGATGTTATGTCTTTTCCTGCAAGTCGTGCCTCCTTCCTCCGAATACCTATTCCTGCTTCATGCCCCCCAACCCCGCCTCCCTGCACGACCATGGACGGTGACGCTGTGGCCGAGGCAGGAAAACGTTGTGGCCGACTGTGTTTTCTCCGTGCCCACGGCTCCTCTTGCGGCATCGTTGCACCCCCCTTCCCTTCCCGTCCTCCCGTTTCATGCTTACCTCGTTCCGTCCCCGCGTCATACGGTCGGGCCGAGCCATGGGATCGAGGTCGGTTCGGGGAGGGTACCTTCGTGTTCGTCGTGGTTGTTGCAAGTTATTGTGCATCTTGGGGGGGGCACCCTCGAATGTTCTTCAGTTTCAGAAGGCGGAGGAGATCATGTTCTCGAAGGATGTTCGTCTGTCCCAGGCCTCACCGTGATCGTCATCCTGTACGTTCCCATCCTCGCCGTCGGCGTCGCCCTCGTCCTCCCATTCTGTCTGTTCCTCTTGCTTGCTGCCCGTGCTACTGCTGCTGCTGCTCCCCCCCACCCCTCTGTGTTGCCTGCCGCCCTCCGCCTGCTTCCCCTCCCCCACGCACACACAGGCACACACGCAAATACGAGCACAGTTTGCGTCCCAACTCAGCGAGGAGATTGGCGTGGCGCGTTAATGCGAAGTATCACCGAGCGTTACTGTCACACGCACACACGCGTGCACGCTCTGTTTGGCGTCGCGGCCTCACGCGCAGCGCCTCGTTTAGGAAAGGTCCATATCTATCTATATATATATATATATGTACAGAGGGAGAGAGAGAGAGAGAGAACGAAAGAAAGACATGTACGCGCACACACACACACACACATACACACACACACCACACACACACATCCCCCTTGGCCTGCGCCCAGCAGCAGCTGATGGCGCAGCAGCAGGCCGCCCACGCCGCCGCAGCTACCTTCTGCCGTCGCCGCGCAGTCGCGCACGCGCGCGCGCGCTCGTGCACGCGCCAGCACGTGTGAGCATGCGGTCGCGCGCGTGACAGGAGGGCCTCTGAATGGGGCTCTTGTGAGGCCTGCTTAGCCGCCTTGGAGCTGCCTTTGGCTTCTGCGATGCCGTCATGGGACCCCGCACGTCTGAGCGTGCGGTCGCGCGCGTGACAGGAGGGCCTCTTAATGAGGCCCTCGTGAGGCCTGCCTGAGCCGCCTTGGAGCTACCTTGGGCTCCTGCATGGGAACCCTTGGGGCCGTCTTGGGGTTTTCATTGGCTGTCTTGGGGCTCTCTTGAGGTCCTCTATGCATTGCCCCGCTTGGGCCTTTCGGGGGCCTCTTTGGGGTGCCGTTTCCTGAGCTTTCTTTGGGGTATTTCAGAGCTTTGATTTGGTTCGTCATGATTTTCATTTGGCTGCTTCAAAGGCCTCCTGGAACATGATTCAGCTGAGAGCGCTGGGAACCAGAAGAACTTTTATATACAGGTAGGCATCCCCTCCGTAGCCATTTTGGCTCAAGGGGGTTTACCCCTGCAAGGCGTCCGTGCAGCGGGCCATGTATCAGGCCCATCTGCAGGGTCTCTTGTTGCCCTTCTGGGACGAGCGTGGTGAGAGGCCGGACCATCAGGCCACCGTGTACAGCTTCCACACCGTGCAGTGCACGAATTTCCAGAAGGGGTTCTGTGAGTTCCATCGTCCCAGGGACAAGGCGGCGCCGTGCTTCTGTTACCACTTTGACTCTCAGCAGAGGCGTGCACCCGTTGACACGCCGACCTCAGGGAGGCTGCTGTATTGGGACGCTCCATGCCACAGTATGAGTTCTGGCTCCTCGTGCAATGCTGGCGACTTGTGTGTCTTTGCGCACAGCAAGGAGGAGATCTCATACCACCCCGCAAAGTTCAAGACCCGGCGGTGCAACCTGCGCAATTGCCGCGGGGAGGCCATTTGTTGCTTCGCGCATGACGAGAGCGAGTTGCGGACGTGGGCGGCGGAGAAATATTCGTATTGGACGTTTATTTCAGGCCAGGGACCTGGAGGACAGCGTGTTCCTGCAGATTGGTCTACGCTTGATGCATCAGCGTCATGTACACTGGCGATGGTGCAGGGTGCGGCTTCAAGCTCAGTTCGTCGTAAGCAGCGCTTCTGCGCGTCCTTCCCCGACGTGGGCCAGTGCCGACGTGGTGCAACATGCGCTTGGGCGCATTCCCGGGAGGAGGTGGGAATGCAGCTGCTATCTGCGGAGCAGGAGCAGCAGGCCCCGGCTGCCCTTACCGCCGATTTCTTCATGTACAAATTCAAGACGCTGTGGTGCCCCATTGGTGTCCAGCATGACTGGCAGACGTGCGTCTACGCGCACAACTACCAGGACGCCCGCCGAAACGTGTCCATCGGCTACGGCCCACGGCCGTGCCCGCACTGGGCCAAGAAGGAGCCAGCCTCTGAGTATTCGCAGCGCTGCCCGCTGGGCCTCCGCTGCCCGTACTCCCACGGCGCCAAGGAGCAGCTTTACCACCCGCAGTATTTCCGGACAGTGATCTGCCGAGAGTTTCGCACGAAGAGCTGCGCGCGGCAGACGCTTTGCGCCTTCTTCCACCGCCGGCCGGACCGACGGAAGCCTCCACCTGACGGTACGGACTACAGTGCACCGATCAGGGACGAGGCCATGCCGCAGAACTGGGTGGCGGATTTCCTCGCGCCACCTTTCCGCGACGCGGAGTCGTGTGGCCGGAGATTGGGCACGCCGAGGACGCAGTCGGACGCAAGCGACGTGGGAGACGCGTCTCCAGCCTCCACCCGCGAGGCTCGCGGAAAGCATCGGCCACGCGTAGAGGGGGGCAGGTGGAGGGGGGAACGGCTTCTCAGAAGCACCCCTGCTTCTTAGAAGGCGCGGGCCCTTGTCTGTAGATCTGCGACCCGCGCCCTCCTCAGAAGCAGCCTCCTCTCAAGCAGCCTTCCCCCCTGCCCCTCACACCCCCTTGTGCGCGCCGCCAACAGCAGGCTCGTGTGCCGAGTGCGAGGCTCCGAGGGCGAGGCGGGCCGGTGGCCAGAGAGGTTGGCGAGGGCGCGGCAGGAGCGGCGGGCCCCGCGAGTGCCGGCGTCGGCCTGGAGGCGGTGGGCGGCGACGGCTTGCCCTGGAAGGTGGAAGTGAAGGCTCAGACCTACGGGCCTTTCGGAGGGCCGTTTCGCGCGTTTCCGGGCCTCGTGGCCGCCATGGACCTGGCCGCTCCGCCCAGGCCCTAGTCGAGCAGAAGGGAGCAGGTTACCTCTGAAGGTCTTTAGTTTTGCCCCCCCTTCCCCCCCCTGTTTCTTCCGGCGTGGACCAGATCTCGTCTGTCCTCCTCCGCCTGCTTCTCCTCCTTCTCCTGTTCCTCCTCGCCGCCTCCTCCTGCTCCAAAGTCGCTCAGGAGTCTTGGGTTTACACTGGTCCTCGTCCGCCTTGTCCTCGTCCCCCCCTCCTCCTGGCCTCGTCCTCGTCCCCCCCTCCTCCTGTTCTCGTCCTCGTCGTCGTCGTCGTCGTTGTTGCGCGGCGGGTGCCGCGGATAAATCAATCTTTTCCATTATTGGTGGGGCCCCAGTGCGTCAACAAGGGCGTCGAAAAGATAATTCGGTTCCACCATTTGGAGGGGGTTCTAAAGACCTTTAGGGGTTATGAGGAGGGATGCGGGGAATCGAGGAGGAGGTGGAGGTGGAGAAGCGCTTTACCGAACAGGCTTGGACATAGCGACCTGGCGAGCATGGCCGGTCCCCATGGCCATTGCGGCGCGTTCAGCAAGCAGGCTGGCGCGATGTACAAAGTTGGGGTGATATGTTCGAATATTGCTGCAGATGAATGGAGAGGAGGAGGGAGGGAGAGGAGGAGGGGCGAAGGCATCAATAATGCGAAAGTCGCATATACGCTCTTTCAGACTATGGTCTGTGTAGATAGTTGTCGTCCTAAGCTCTCGGTGGACGAGCGGATCTGCGCGTTGGTATCGGGCCTGCTCTGGCCAAGTGGCCCGTCCTGGCACAGTTGAGGGCGTCTGCTCCGATCATCCTCGCGCAACCGGGGCCCTGCCTTGTCAGGGAGGGGGTGGAGGAGGGGAGGTGCAGCAAAAGGAAGGGGCGGAAGTCAGGGAGCATGACGTTGACGCTCCTTCCTCTAGTCTGGGGCCTTGTCCGTCTTCTAGTATGGGCCCTCGCGAGTGTTCATAGACAGCATTTGCCCCCAGAGTCCCACGCGCTTCAGTTTCCGCGCTCCTCCTGTCCGCACATCGGCGCGGCAGAGGAGATATCGGCCGAGATTGATGCAGCCTAGCCTTCATCCTCTTCTTCCTCGCACCTGATCCTTCCTATCCCTCCTCTCCTCCCCCTCCACTCCTCTCGTGCACGCACAAGCTTTCTCACTGCGGATGGTTGTATGCTGCGCGTGCATGTGCCACTTCTCTCATGACTATGAGGCCCGTCCTCCCGCGCCTCCAGAGCGTCCCGGCGCCATTTGGCAATCGCGCATGTGTGCAGGCGTTGTGGCCAGTGGCGGGAGTAAACAAAAAAATATTGGCATCCCAGTTATGGTTCTCTTTGGTGTCTTGGAAGCCTCGTGGCGCTTCTTTGGCGCATCTTGGAGCCTTGTCGGAGGCTGTCGGGCGACTTTTGAGGCAGTCATTGGGAATCTTAGTGGCCTTGGTGACGTGCCTGATGTTGGGAGCTAGTGGCTTTTACCTGGTCGCTTATACATTTGCAAAATCAGCCGTGAATCGGGCCCTGCGGGGCCATGACAGCCAGCGGGGCAGCGAGCCCGAGCCCGAGAAGCCCGCGCCCCAGAAGCCCGAGGCCCAGCCCGAGCGGGAGCCCGAGCGCGAGGCGCGATCCATGTGGATGACGGTGACGAGCGCGCGCAGTGGAGCGCCTTCCCTGGCCTGCGGGGCTGTCGCCAGCGCAGTCCGGAACATGCCCTCGCCGATCGACGATTCAGGCAGCTCGATGGGCGGCGGTGGTGGGGATATGAAGTGCGTCGAACGCGTGTCAACATCCGAACCCTGCCCCCCCCGCCTCCCATCGGTCCAGGTGAATCGATGGTTTGTGGGGGTAGGGTTCAGACGTCGCCGCCTAGAGGAGGCCCTTGGGCCAGAATCGGGCCGCATGTCCGGGTAGGGTTAAGTCGGGCCTGCCCCTCTACAGGAGCAATATTCAAAAATAGTAAGAAAATAGTCTGGGGATTTTTGTTTGTTTTTTTCACAATTTTTGCTTATTTTTTGACTATGTTTAATTTTTCCCCCAAAGCCTCGGTATAGGGGGACAGCCCCGACGTAAGGGCAGGGGGGGGGCCCTTTGGCCCCTGCGCCCTGGGCCCCCCCGGCTGCCGACTTAAGGGTAGGGGGGGGGCATTGGGCCCCTGCACCTGGGGCCCCCCCGGCTGCAGCCCTGCTGTGGCGCGTGTTGGCCGCCCCCCGCCGTGCCCCGGGGGGACGCTCCGAGGCCGGGGGGGTCATCCAGGCATATAGGCGGCTCCAGGGGAGGGAACGTAATCGACCCTCTCCTCGTTTTCCTCGTCCTCCTCCTGCTCCTGCTCCTGCTCCTCCTCCTCCTTCTCCTCCCTCCCGTGCCCTTCTACTCCTCCTCCTCCTCCGCCTCCTCCTCCTCCTCCTCCTCATCCTCCTCCTCCTCCTCCTCCTCCTCTCCTCCTCGTCCCCCTCCTCCTCCTCCTCCTGCCCCTCCTCCTCCTCCGCCTCATCCTCCTTCTCCTCCTCCCTCTCGTGCCCTCCTCTTTCTCCTTCTCGTGCCCTCCCTCCCCCCTGCGTTTGGGAACAGCTTCCTCCTGCTCGTCCACAACAGCCTCTTCCTGCTCATTCGATTGTTAACCTGCCTAGTACGGATTTGCGACTTTCGAAGCTTATCCTTGCATCCTTCCACTTCGGCCCATCCTTGGCTGCTTTCGCTGGCCGCGCCCCGCTCGCAAAGAGTCTTTGTGGCCTCTCTCCGCCCTCCTGCTCCTCCTCGTATTTCTCCCCGCGCCCGCGCGGAGAGGCCCAGCTGCAGGCGCAGCAGCTGCACGCACAGCAGCTGCACGCACAGCAGTTGCAGGCGCGCCCGCCCGCCACAGCATGGAGGAGAGGCAGCTATAGTTAGAACGACGAGGACAAGAGAAGGAGGAGGAGGAGGAGGACGAGGACGAGGAGGATGAGGAGGACGAGGAGGAGAAGGACGAGGAGAAGGACCAGTTGGTGAAGGGGACGGGGGAGGGGGGGGCACCAGTGCCTACAGCGCACAGGAGGAGGAGAAGGGCGAGGGCCAGGTGGAGGAGGAGGAGGAGAGGGAGGAGGAAGAGGTTCAGGAGGAGGAGGAAGGAGGAGTTGTAGGAGAGGTTGGAGGAGGGTGAGGAAGAGGAGGAGGCGGAGGAAGAGGAGGAGGAGGAGGAGGAGGAGGAGGAGGGAGGAGGAGGAGGAGGAGGAGGAGGAGGAGGAGGAGGAGGAGATGGAGGAGGAGGAGGTGAAGGAGGAGGAGGAGTTAGATGAGGAGGAGGAGGAGGAGGATAAGGAGAAGGAGGAGCAGGAGGAGGAGGGTTATCGCGAGGGGAGTGGGAGAGTGAGGGGTAGCGGTTGGGGAGTGGACGAGTAGTTGACGTGGCCTCGGCAATTGCCTTGTCGCAACCTTTCCGCATCCGTGCAAGTCACCCGGTTGGTGTATGTTCGGGGACATCCAAGGATCCCCCCCTCCTTTCGGCGGTGCTTCGGTCCGGCATTCAGCCGCTGGTTTCTCGAGGGGACGACGGTCGTTCGCCTGAGATGCCTGGGTTGAGCCAGGTAATGGGCTGTGCGAGTGGCCGCCGTCGTGCGTGCGAATGTCCCATCAAGTGCGATTGTCACGATACCCTTGTGAAACTCCTCTTCCCCGTTCCTCCGCCACGCAGGGAGAGAGAGAGAGAGAGAGAGAGCAGAGGGAGGGGGGAAGGCTTTTTAGAATCACCCCAGCTTCTTAGAAGGCGCGGGCCTTGTATATAGATGTACGGCCCGCGCCCTCTAAGAAGTAGCTTTCTCCTGAGGAGCCTTCCCCCCCCCTACCCCCTTGAGCACGCGGCCAACTTTCGCCCCGCGAGGCCATGCAGATGCAGCAGATGCAGATGATGGGCATGCCGCCCCAGATGGCGCGCCCGACGGCCCCATTTGGAGACTTCCAGCGTCGACCGCACGCCTCCCACGGGCCCCATCCCTCCCCTCCCATCCTATGCCCCCCCCTCCTTGCCTTCTCTTCCCTTTCCTCCCCCCCTCCTTCCCTTCGACTCCTACTTTGCTTCTCTCTTCCCTCTGCCGGCCCCACCCCTTATCCCCACCCTCCTCCGAATCCCGGCTCGCCTGGCTTTTCGCTTGCCTCTGCCTCTCCCCCCCTCTTTCCCCCACCCCACCCCCCTCCACCCCCCTCCTCCGTGCAGCGCGAACCCTTGCTTAGATTCTGCGCCCACACGCCCGCGACACGTCCGAGCAGGGTGGCCCTTCCCCCGTGAGGGGAGAGGGACGCCCTACCAGACCAGACAGGAGGAGGGAGCTCCCTTGTGGCGGCTGGGGACCCCCCCTCGAAGATGAGGCCCGAGCCAAGCCAGGATCGCCCCGTCCTCTTCGGTCTGGTCATGGTTTCCCTGTCTTCATCGAGCACAGAAAAGCCCCTAACCCTAATCACACGGTGAAGACGCGGCCTCACTAAGGTTCCCGTCATCGCACGAGGCAAACTGCATTTAGGCGGTTTGGTCTAGCACATTTGTAGGAAAGCCCCCCCATCCCGAACGTTTTTGGCTCTCCTAATTTAGGTCGCCTCCCAAAGAGTCAGCGTTCTTTTCTGTTTGACTCTCTCTCTCTCTCTCTCTCCAGGTGAGGTGTTGGGCGGGACATGGTTTGGGGACAGTGTGCGATTCCAAATGTTGGCGCTGAAGTTTTCGTTAGCGCCTTCCCGGGCATAGCCCTTAGCCCTCTCTGTGGGTTGGAGCTCGCGATTCGCCTCCAGCGAGGCTGAATTCACCGGCTCTGGACACAATGGGAATCCAAATTTCTGTTTTACTCTTCTCAACTCAGGGCAGCGCCACTTTTTTGCGAGCGCGTCGTCGGCGTCGTCGGCGGCGGCGCCGCGTCATCGTCGCTGCCTTTCCGCGGACTCCTGGGCAGGCTCGTTTTTTTCGAGCGCGGAGGAGACCTTGGTCAGCTCGGCGGCGAAAGTTGAACCCTGCCCTCGCCGATCAACGATTGAGGCAACTCGATGGACGGCGGGGACAGGGGTCGGAGTCTTTCGCGCACGCGAGCGACGCAAAAAAGGTCCGTGTAAGGTCGCGCGTAATCTCTCTTGTCTCCAATGTGGCGTGCCGCGCTGGCGGCCAGCATAAGCCACGTGAGATCGCTACGTCATCTCGCGTAAGACCCGTTTCGGCTCGCAGCGCAATCCGAGCCTTGTCCCCTCCCTCCGTCGATCCATGCGAACCGATGGCTGGTGGGGTCGGGGTTCGGACCTCGCCACCCGTAAGAGCTCCTCCGTCAGCGGCTCGCAGACAGCAGGGCCCGCGCCAGGCGCCGGGTGCATCGCAGGGCGCCAGCTGCCGTCCAGACGGTGACGGGAGGGCCGCCGGGCGCTCCAGGGGGGCTGTGGTGGTCGGGCCGCCCGCGAGCTCTCCCACTGGCGGCCCGCAGACCGTCGGGCCCGCGCCGGGCACCTGGTGTACCGCAGGGCGCCGGCTGCAGCCCAGACGTGCACACACGCTCGGGAAGCGAAAGGCTCGCGTGCGCCAGAGCTCGGGTTCGGATGCTGCCACTGGGCCGCGCCCGCGGGGTCGCGCAGCGGCCTCGCGGCCGCAGCCGCGCCCGCGCCGCGCGCGAAGGCCCCCGCCCCCCCTTTGGGCCGCCCCGCCGGGGGGGGCCCCGGCTGTGCCCCAGCTGCGGCAACGTGGCGTGTGCCGTCCGCCCGAGGAGGAGGAGGAGGAGGAGGAGGAGGAGGAGGAGGAGGAGGAGGAGGAGGAGGAGGAGGAGGGGGAGGGGGAGGGGGAGGAGGAGGGAGGAGGAAGAACAAGAGGAGGAGGAAGAGGAAGAGGAGGAGGAGGAGGAGGCGGAGGAGGAGGAGGAGGAGGAGGAGGAGGAGGAGGAGGAGGGGACTTCCCCGCGGATTTCTCGCCTCGGCGCTGGACCCCCCTGGCGGCTCCTCCGGCGTCGCCCCTGGCGCGCTCCGCACGTCAGCCGGGGGTGTCCAGAGCCGACCTGGGAAGTCCACGCAAAGATCTGACAGGCTGTGCTGATGGCGTTGCGTGCTCCTCCTATGCAGGGGGCTTAAGAGGTGGGGACGGATCCGAATCGAACCCTCCCCCTCCTCCGTCTCCTCCTGCTCCTACTCCCCTTCGTCGTCCTTCTCCTCCTCCGCCTCCTCCTCCCTCTCGTGCCCTCCTCCGTTTTTGTTCCTCTGGTTCCCTCCCCCCGCTCTGCACTGGAGAACCGCGTCATCCTGCTCCTCCCTCCCTTCCTCCTCCCCTCCTTCTCTTCCTCCTCCGCCATATCCGTCTCTTTCTCATCCGCCCTTCTCCTCCTCCTCATACTCCTCCTCCTACTCCTTTTACTCCTCCTGCTCCTCCTCCTCCCCCATCTGCGCCCCGCTGCGCCCCGCCCTTGGCTCAACTCGACCGCGCGTTAGGGGAGCGACCTTGCGCAAGAGCGGCATCTCCTGCTCTTCGTCGTCGTCCTCCTGCTCCCTCTCCTGCTCCGCCTCCTCCTCCTCCTCCTGCTCCTCCCTCCCTTCCTTTTTTTTCTCCCTCTCGTGCCCTCCTCCTCTTTCTTCCCTGCGGTTGAGAGCGGCTCCCTCCTGCTCTTGAGAACAGCATCCACATCCGGCTCCTCCTGCAAGACTTACAGCAAAGCTGAGTTCGATCGCAAGGCCATGGTCCACAAGGGGCATTCCTGAGGCTACTTGGACTCCTGACTCCTCCCGGGGTCCTGAGGCAGGGGGATGGCGGGGGTTGTAGCCAGACATGAACATCGACAGCGCAGACATGAACGAAGTCGCGTGGATCAGCGACGGTTTGCGTCTCCAGGAATAATCCACCTGCTCCGTCGCCAAATCTGGCGGCATTGACAACATGTTTCGGGGGGGCCTTTCCATATGTACGGATGCGTCATGCATGCCAGCGCTTGCACGACAGCAATTCTGGGTTTGACGAGTATCCTTATATTTTTTGCGTTTGGGCTCTCCAGATTGGCATGTTGTTCGTTTGGGGGTGTCCTCACGAGGCTATGGACATCCAGTGAACGGGTTCATGCTCTTGAACCACGTTATTGTGGCCATGTTCCATAGACTGTTCCATCATCGGGGTCGCTTGTGCCAGGGCGGTTGGAGGTTTTACCCGACGTGCCACCGTAGGGGTATAAACTTTCCTGCCGCCTTGGGATAGACGTCCCCGATGACAGACAAGTTAATATGCTGCAGTTCTTCGTTTGATGAGAGGGGCAGGGGAGGAGCACTTGCTGGGTTCGTCCCAAAGAGGCACCTCCGCTCTTGAGACCTGTGCTCACCCGGACCTCTTCTTTTCGCGGGTGCCAATGTTCAGGAGACCGCCCCAGGGAGGCGGAGGCTTGTTCGCGAGACGCTCTCGCTTCATGGACCTTGCTCGCCACTTGTTTGCCCACCAGCTCTGCTATCATCTGCCCAATCATGTTACGGCTTCCCTTCATTATTCCATTAGTGTTCCATTATTCCACTTCACTCCTCCCTGTCGCTCTCCCCCGAGGTCAGCCGAAAGGGGGGCTGGGCGTTTTGCTTGGGACCTCCTCACCATGTGTAATATTGATGCTTGAAGTTTGCAACCGTTTTAGGGCGACCCGCTTTCAAAACGTGGCTCTCAACTTAGCGCCACGCATAGTAATTATCAACAGTGTCAAGGGTTTCACGGATGTCAGTCGGTTATTTTTCTGAATACGGTGTTCGTTACAATGCCGCGCACATTCGTTCTGAACAGTTGCAAGAGTCTCAAAGATGGAGGGCGGGGCCTTTTACAACATGGCATTTTGGTTTCAGCGCCGCGCACGTTCAATTCACAAGAATTGTGAGAGCTTCACGGATGGAGGGTGGCTCTTTCTCAAATTGTTGTTATTGCTTTAGCCCCGCGCACATTCGCCTTCAGGTGTTGCAGCAGATTCAAGGGTTGCCATGGTTAGCACGTCCAAGACATGCGTTGTGGCACGATGTCGGAATGTCAGGGCAAACCAGTCACGTAGATATGTTGCAGTCCCAGGGATGGTGTTCTGGCAGAGTTCCGGATTTTGAAACGGTTGTCTTCCTTTAGGGCACGTCATTCGGTAACAAATGGATGTTTGCTTGGGCCTATGAAGAGGGAATTTCGAGGGAGCGTTTATTGCAATATCGTTGATGGGTCTTGGGTTTGCACTGGTCCTCCTCAGTCTCATCGTTCCCCCTCTCTGCCTCGCCCAGCTCCGCGATTGGCGCTCCGCCGCAGGTTGTGGCAATGTCGCCCCCGTCAGCAGTGCCTCCTGCAGCGGCGCCAGGCGTTCGCACCTTTCAAGCTTCGGGCCGATCCCATATTTGTTCTCGCTTGCGCATCATCGTCCGCCCCCCATTTTTCCGCATTCACCCATGCAGGACTTGGGAGGGAGAGGTAAAGTCTCTTCTCTCTCCCCCGTCTCCTACTCACCCACGCCCTTATTGTATGCCGTCCCTTTTCTTCTCTACAGGAGCCACCAGGCCCTGATAGCATAGAGTTAAGGTTTGACACTGTGTATATCCAACCAGCCCATCTTGAAACGATCGCCAGGCGAGTTGTCCTGATCAGAGAAGTGTAGGAGCATCCAGCGGAGTTGGCAGGTCAGGCAGCCGTCAAGCCAAAGCTCAGGGACAGCCTGAGCATATCAGTAGTGGAATGGCAGAGTCTGCCGCCGAAGAAGGATGAGGAGGTGACATTGGACAGGGAAGAGGGGTGTTTGGGGGGGGGAGTGAAGAGGGAGGAGGAAGAGGAGGGACAGGAGCGAGAGCAGGAGGAGGATGGATGAGGAAGGGGGCGACGACGACGTTACGCAGGACGAGGAGGAGGGCTACGATTACTGCAGGAGTCAATCGTTAAGCCTTCCGCGGATCTTTCGCTCTCAGATGCTCGTGGCGGCTTCTTTGAGCTGTGTTGGGGTCCTCTTGGAGCGATGTTGGGAGCAATTCTGTGTGGGCCCGTTTCGGATCCTCAAGTGCCTTGCTGTGGCCATCATGGCGGCCATCGATCAAGAGGGGAGGATCTATCTTAGGCTTGCCCATCCTGAGCCTAACATATTGCGTCTTGGGACGCTTTGGGAACTCTCGTTGGCCTGTTGGGGTTGTCTCCGAGCCTTTCTGGGCCCCTCCTGAGAGTCTATCTCGCGATCTTGAGGCGCCATGCTGAAGCCTCATCGTGGATAGCTTGCCTTGTCCAGTGACTCGTCTCGTGCTTGACCTCTCTTGTATATGGCCTGACACCTCTATGAGCTGGCGTGTATGTCCTCCTCGTGTATGCCGTGTATGATCTGTGTTGTAGAATGGCCCCCCTCGAATCGTAGCCTCGCTTCCTCCTCGCCTCGAATCGGGGGCGACTGGTGAATGCGCAGACTTTGTGGTAAATGCGCAGATGTATTGGAATAGTCTTTGGATCCTATCCAGTTGCCTCCTGGAAGACCGCCACCGTGCCAGCGCAGCATTTTGGGTGGCAGCTACTGGAGAGGACAAGGGGACATACTGGGGGCCTCTTGGTGCAGAAACCTCGAGCTTTGGGTTCGTGTCCCCGCTCTTAGCCCCTTTGGGGGGACGTCCCGTGGCCCTCGTTAGCAGTCCGTGGGCCGCCCTTGTGCCGTCTTGGAGCCCAAGAGGGCTGCCCTGGAGCTCTTTTGGGGACCTCTTGAGCCATCTCGGGCCCCTTGGGCCGTCTTGGAGCGTCGGTCGTGGGGCCGTCTGAGGCCGTCTAGGGGGTCATCGTAGGCCTTGCGGGGGGCCGCCGAGACCATGCAGGGCCAGCTCGAGTCCCTCCTGGGTCCCTCCTGGGCTCTCCAGGCGCCCTCTTTGTCCGCCTTTAGGCCGTCTTGCTCTTTGGCTACTCCAGATTTCGTAATAAAGGGAGGGGGGTCTCATTTCGGGGGGGGGGTCTCTTCCAGGCTATCTTGGAGGGCCTGGGGGGGTCTGGGGACGAGGTTTTGGAGGGTTCTCCCACGGGGGAGGTCTGAAATGGTTTGCCTTGGAGGGTCCAGACCCCCTCCCTGTTATTACGAAATCTGGAGTACGTTGAGGTGGGCCGTCGTGGGGCCATCATGCAGGCCTCATGGGCCGTCCTCAGCCGAGGGAAGATCGACAAGGCGAGAATGCGACAATCTGCAGAACACCGAAGGACATTCAATGATGTTGGCATCTTCCCTCTTGGAGGTCTTTTTTGGAGATCTTGATGCTATCTTGGGCCATCTTGGGGCGGGCTTCGGCCTGGTTGGAGCTATTGTGTGCAGCTTGGACGCGTTGGAGAGCGCTAAGGAGGTGTGATGCATGCCAGGAAGCCTTGGGAACAGGGGCTTGTGCACGCAGTTTGGCACTTCGAGCGGGGGTGGGGGACTAGATGCATTACAGAAACCCTGCCAGACAGCACTTAGCATTTTTCCACGCCTCAGCATGCCAGGGGTGCACGGTGGCGGATTGTTCCCCCTTGGGAGGAGTTTGGACGCCCATTTGGGGTCTTAAGAGCAATGTTGAAGCCATCGACCGAATCAGGGATGTATCGTCAAGTTGCCGTTGCACGTCAGGGCCCGAAACGCCGTTTATTGGAGCCACCATCGTGAGAGATGTCTAGATCGTTGTTGGGGCAGTCTTGGGAGTCTTGGTAATAATCCGAGGAAGACCGAGTTGGAAGAGGAGAATAAGAGAAGACGGGGAGGAGGCATAAGATCAAGAGCAAGAGGAGGATGAGAGAGGAAGACAGCGACCACGACGGCGTCAGAAGTCAACCATGTCTTTGATGTTTCCCTCGTGTAAGTAGTTTCTCCCTCTCCGGCCCTCAGCGCTCCTGGTCTGTCTTGAGTGTCATTCGCCTCGCGTATGACCTGTCTGACTTGTCTTGCATCTGACCCTCGACGTACATAGGATGCCTTTTACGATGACCCCCTGTCTTGTACATGACATGTGACCCTCCTGTGCAACCCGCATCGTGAACGACTTGTCTTGTGTATTACCGATTCGAGTATGACCTTCTTGTGGAATCCGGCCCGTATTTCCGCCTCAGTTTGTTGGCGGATGGTGGACTCACAGGTTTATGGGAGCCTCTTGGGTCCTTCGGAATATTCCAAGATCCATCTTGACCACCCGATAGGAACAGTTCAGAAGTTGTCGGAGCCCTCCTCGGGAGCCATCTTGGAGGCCATCGATTCAAATAGTGGGAGGGTCCTTGATTCCTGTCAGGGCCCGAAATGTTGTCTCTTGGAGTCCCCTTTGGAGGATCTTGGAGTGCTCTTGGGCGCTTGCGAGGTCATATTGGGCTCTTCGTGCCCACTCTTGGGACTCTGTTTGGTGTTATTGCGGCCGTCTTGAGGCATCAGAGGTTCATCCGAAGCGAAAAGGCAGGGAGACAGCACGCATTGCACCACTATTGGTGGTTCAAGGACTTCGGCCTCTCGTCTCGGGGTTCTGGACGTCTGGAGGGAGAGTTGCGTCAGGTTTTGGTGCAAGGAGCGTTTTGCGCTCCCCGCGGCGCGCCTTCCTCCGCCAGATGACTGACGGCTTGCCTGCATCGGGATGGTGGTAATGAGCTCGCTGAAGGCAAACATACCTTGGGCTTCTTGATACGCGTGGGCTCTGGGGGTCGGGCTGCGACGGGGGTCGGAGCGCCTTCGGCTCGCGGTGGCTGCCCGCGACGGGGTCGATGTGGGGCTGTCGGCGGGGGTGACGCCCCCCCGACGCTTGTCACCACCCACCAAACCACCCCAACCCAACCCGAAGGCTCAGATTTACCCTCGATTTCCAGTGGGGGGTCGGGAAACATCGACAAAAACACATCTGGAACCCTTACCCCCCCCACCCCAAATTCGGGTCTTCGGGTTGGGTTGGGGTGGTCTGGTAGGTAGTCAGGGATGGCGGCAGTGCCTTCGGCATCTCCTCCTCGGGGTCCCTCTGGGGCCGGCGACGGCGAGGAGCGTGCAGGAGAAGTCAGAGCGTGAATTACTTACGCCGCTTTCGCTTCCAGGCAAAACCAAGCCATACCACGCGCCTCCTCGTCAAGCGGCCTGACCAGTACAGGCCGTAGTTTGGCATCGTTTGGTATCCCTTGGAAGCGAGCGTGGTCAAAAGCGAAGTAGGTTTGTTTTCCCCCTCAGAAGGGAGCGAGGCGCCCAGGCCCAGCGGCGGCACGCAGGGGCAGCTGGTCGTCGACCGTCGCCCGTCGCCCGCCCTGCTCCGTCGGTCCGTCCTCGATGCTCCGTGGCCGCCCCTCGGCCGCGTCAAACCTCCTGGCGGGGGCCTCGTGCGTCTCGTCAGGAGGGGAAAAAATACACAGACACAATTATTCGTCGGCTTCCAGAACATATGCGAAACAATGGGAAGTGGGGGGAAGACAGAAACCCTGAAAATATGGGAAAATATGGGGAATCTGTTTATTTGTGTGTATTTATTTGTGTGTCCTAAGGCCCCTTCATCTCGCAGTGGCAGTGCACGTCTGCGTCTCTCACGCGTGCCAGATCCATCTGGCCGGTCTGCCCGGGCCGCCCTCCAGCGGAGCGCGTCGGGCAGGCCCGGGGAGGCACGGGTGGGGCGTGGGCGGGCGGCAGGCGGAGAGGAGGGGGGCCCCACCGATGCCTTCTTTTCTTTTGGTTTGTTTCTTTTGCCTCGTTTGCTTTTTTTTGTTTCTTATTTGTTCTTTTTTTTTTGTTTTTTTTTTTGCTTTTTGTTTTTTTTTTCTTTTTTTTTTTTCATTTTGTATTTTTTGTTGTTTTTTTTTTTTTTTTTTGTTTTTTTTTTGTTTTATTTTTTTTTTTTTTTTTTTTTTTTTTTTTTTTTTGTTTTTTGTTTTGTTGTGTTCTTTTGTGTTGTTTTTTTTTTTTTGTTCTTTTTTTTTTTTTTTTTTTTTCTTTATTTTTATTTTTTTTTTTTGTTTTTTGTTTTTTTTTTTTTTTTCTTCTTGTGTTTGTGATGGTGGTGCGGGCGTTGCGCACTGGGGGGGGCTGGGGGGGGGGGCGATGCATTGGGAGGGGGAGAAAGGTGTGCCGCTTGCGCCCCAGGGGGGTCCCGCGGGGCACGCAGGTGCGTGTGCCTCCCCCCCCCCCTTTTGGGCAGCGCCCGAGTGGTTCGTCCTAGCAGGGGAGGGGTGGGGCGGGGGCAGGGCAGCCCGCAGAGGGCGAGGCGGGCCCGCAGATCGCCCGCCCGCACCGCTGCCCACCACGAGGCCACTCGCAGCCGTTTCCCTCCCGCCGGGGCTCCGTCGTCTGTCGATCGTCGCCCGTCGCCCGTCGCCCGCTGGTCGTGGCGGTCGACGACGGACGCGGCGGGCGGCGGACGCAGACGACG